TTTCTCTCCTTTTATTCCCATAGCAGCCATTGATGCAGAGGTATTATTTGCAGCATGAGATGATGCATTATTACAGAAAGCATAGTTCTTCCTTCTGTACCAGGAAAGTGGTCAGTCAGAAACTCCACATACTTTTCACAGGTCATCTTTACACCTTCGGGGACCCTAAAGGGGCCAACCAGCTCTCTTCCCATGATTCCAGCCCAAAACATGACTCCACCACCGCCTTGTTGACGTCGCAGCCTTGTTGGAACAGGGTGGCCATCCACCAACCATCCACTACTCCATCCATCTGGACCATCCAGGTTTGCACGGCACTCATCAGTGAACAGGACTGTTTGAAAATTAGTCTTCATGTATTTTTCTACTCAATGCAGCCGTTTCTGCTTGTGAGCATTGGTTAGTGGTGGCCGAATAGAAGGTTTATGCACAGTTGCAAGACTCTGGAGGACTCTACACCTTGATGGGACTCCAGAGGCACCTGCAGCTTCAAATATCTGTTTGCTACTATGTAATGGTATTTTAGCAGCTGCTCTCTTGATGCATGTATCTGGCAGAAATCTTCCTCAATGTGCCTTTATCTGCACGAACCCGTCTGTGCTCTGAATCAGCCACAAATCTCTTAATAGTGCGATGATCACGATTAAGTTTTCGTGAAATATCTAATGTTTTCATACCTCGTCCAAGGCATTGAACTATTTCACTCTTTTCGGCAGCAGAGAGATCCTTTTTCTTCCGCATATTGCATGAAAATGGTGCTCTGCTTAATAATGTGGAACACCCTCCTTTAGTAGTTTTTCCTTAAATTGGGCTCACCTGGCAATCTAATTATCACAGGTGTCCGAGATTGTTTTCAGTGATCAAAAGAGCCCTGAGATATAATGCCATCCATGAGTTAAACTGAAAAACAAAATATTTAAAGGACCACTCTAGGCACCCAGACCACTTCAGCTTAATGAAGTGGTCTGGGTGCCTGGTCCAGCTAGGGTTAACCCATTTTTTTATAAACATACCAGTTTCAGAGAAACTGCTATGTTTATAAATAGGTTAATCCAGCCTCTAAAGCCTCTAGTGGCTGTCTCATTGACAGCCGCTAGAGGCGTTTGCGTGCTTCTCACTGTGAAAATCAGTGAGAAGATGCCAGCGTCCATAGGAAAGCATTATGAATGCTTTCCTATGAGACTGGCTGAATGCGCGCGCGAGAAGAGGCGGAGAGGAGGAGGAGAGCTCCCGTCCGGTGCTGGAGAAAGGTAAGATTTTAACCCCTTCCTCTCCCCAGAGCCCGGCGGGTGGGGGCACTATAGTGCCAGGAAAACAAGTATGTTTTCCTGGCACTATAGTGGTCCTTTAATCTTTGTGTCACTTAAATAGAATTTGCAAAATAATTTGGAACAGGGTGTAATGCTATAGTATTCCTTTTACCATCCTCATGTGAAGAATGTCGCGGGATCCCAAACTGATAACCTGCCTGAGGCCCAGTGGGATCTTAATCCTTGTCTGATTATAAATTAGAATCACTGATCTATTAACAGACTGTATCAACTGTTAAGAGAAACATAATATAATATATCAGTACCCCCAGAACATACTTGAAAACTAATGAAAGTTAAATGTAGCATTTCTGGTGAAATTATTTAAAATTAATATTATTAATGAGTTTCAAGGGATGAAATTAAGGATCCTGTAAGTGAGATTGATGTAACGTTGCTAGGTTTTCAGGAACCTAAAAAGTCATGTTGTTGTTTGAGTAAGGTTCTCTTTGGTTTATTTGACATACCAAAACAAAACTAGTCATGGCAAACCTAGATTGAAAATATTACCACTGCCTCTCTGCCAGAAGCCTATTATCTTTTCATTGTAGTAGTGTAGGCAGGGCTGAAATGGACCCATCTCCCGCATCTCTTAAATATTACTAGTACTGTTGTTTTTTTAATAACAAGCCTACAGGACCACATACAGAATTCACACCAACTCACACCAATCATTTATTTTGAGACCCAGCACCATTCTTTCACTATTGGGGAACAGTACCATTCCATAGTATTAAAGGACCACTGTAGTGCCAGGAAAACCCCCGGGCCGAAGGGGGTTAAACACTCACCTTTCTCCAGCGCCGGGCTCCCTCGGCGCTGGGGACTCTCCAACTCCCTCAGACGTCATCGGCTGAATGCACATGCGCGGCAAGAGCCGCGCGCGCATTCAGTCAGTTCATAGGAAAGTATTCTCAATCACCGTGAGGAGCGCGGAAGCACCTCTAGCGGCTGTCAATGAGACAGCCACTAGAGGCTGGATTAACCCACATGTAAACATAGCAGTTTCTCTGAAACTGCTATGTTTACAGCAGGCAGGGTTAATCCTAGATGGACCTGGCACCCAGACCACTTAATTAAGCTGAAGTGTTCTGGGTGCTTATAGTGGTCCTTTAATGTTTTCTTGTAATCTTCAACCACGTGAACGCTGGTTCCTAAGGATCTTATCTTATGAATGCATATCGTTTGACTGTATTATAATACATATAGAGAGTACAATTAGCCATCTGCCGCATGCTCCTGATTCCAGGCTCACATGTAAAAATTCAGGCTGTTTCCTGTATGAGTCACTAGCATTTTCTTCCTGCAATGGAAAAGCAACAGAAGAGGCACTCAGGGGAGATGGAAATACAAGCATGGGACACGGGAACAATGCCTAATAGGCAGGAGAAACAAAATGGAAATGCTCCAGTGTCACAGATCCTCCAACAAGTTAGGATTCACTGTACAATGTACAAAATAGTATATCAGCCAAATGCTGAAAAAAAATAAAAATCAATGAAGCCCTTACCTTCTGTACTCAAATAGTTAAATCACCCCGCACATACTCACATTAAAAAAAAATGATTAGTCGGCTAAAATGAACATTTGCAGGAGAAATAATGAATATGTTTCACATAACAAATGGTGATTCTTTAAAAAGTCGATGAATGAATAAGAAATTTTCAATAGTTTGCAGACTTAACCTGGTTTTGTGCTGATTTTTTACCAAGCACATTTTGTTTTGACTTGGTTCAACATCCATCAGAGAATTGACTGATGGTGTAAAATTGTCCATCCCTAAGTTTAAATGTCTGGGTTGTTTCAGCGGAAAGTTCTGCAAAACTAACCACACCATTTATTCCTGCGTACTTACCAAGAAATGATTAGGATTCCAAATGACCCATGACAAGTTATCAATTTGCCCTGCCTTCCATCTAAGTATAGGCATGGTGAATGGGACCAAGCTTGACCAAGTATCTTCATGGCATCGGGGCACCTGTCAGTGGCGGAACTAGAGTAGAGAGGGCCCTGGTGCAAGAATTTGTTTGGGCCCCCTCTAGGTGCTAAATATAACCCTGCAAGGATTGCCAAAAGGTAGATTGCCATATGTTGTACAACTCTGACAATGCCTTGCCAGCTGGGGTTATATTTAGCACCTAGCGATGTTTGTGTGTTTTAATGCACAATGTTTTGTATGGAGTTTGTGTGTGTTATAAAGAGCATGTGTGTAGTGTTGTGTGTTTTTATGTACTGTAGCCATTTGAAAGCAGTGGTTTACTTGTGTGTAGTGTTTGCCTTTCAATGTACGGGTGTGTCTGTATGTACTGTTGGCATTTGAATGCAGGAGTTGATTTGTGTGTAGTGTTTGAATGCTGAGTTGTATGCACATATACACAGCCACATGCATACTGATACACATACACACATCGTGATACACACACAAATACACGCATTGACACACATACATATTCAAGCACTGACACACATCAAGTTACACACATACACAGTACAGACATGCAGATAAACAGACACACAAAGACATACACAGATACACAGACACATGGGTGCACACATTGATACGCATGCAGATACACACTGACATACATGCAGATGCACATATTCACAAATGCAGATACATAGGTACACATTATCATGTATACAGATAAACAGAAAAACATATACTGACACACATACAGATACATGAGCACACAGATACACGCAATAATACATATACAAACACGGACACACATACAGATGCACACACACACAGGAGCACACACTGACACACATGCAGATATACAGACACACAGAATGACACGCATACATATACACAGACACACAGATACACATAATGAGACACATTCAGATACACAGAATTGAACTCATACAGATGCAAACACTGACACACATACAGGTACACAAACACATACTGATATACAGACACACATATACATACAGATACACAGACACATGCAGGTACACAGATACACGTGCAGATACATAGACACACAGATATATATACAGATAGACACATGCAGATACACAGACACACAGATATATACGCACACAGATAGATACACATACAGATGTCACTTCCTCCCATTGCTGACATCATTACAGGAGGCCTGGTTACGCCATTAAAGGGCTGCAGATCTGAACTGGCCCCTAAAGACACATTGCTATTGGGTGGCCCTAACTTCTTGGAACACCTGATGGACCCCTATTAGCTTCACGGGCTGCACCAGCGGTAGATCTGCTGCTGGCACCTGTCTAATCCATGGACCCTGAAGATGCCATAAGAGTTACTCCAAGTATTTTAATCACTACAGCCCATTTAGCAATGGTTTGTCCCTTACCTGGCTCCTAGGTTGTCCAGTGACACGCTTCTGGGTTTTACAGAGCAGCCACAGTTATTCATTAGTTGAGAGAGTGAGCTCTCAGCCAGTGACTGACATAATGTGCAATGAAATTTGGAAGAATTAAGATCTAGTTCTGATGGCTGATGACACCCCTATGACACTTCTGGAAGTGGAGTTACACCTCCAGCAGCAAAAGGGTTAAACTCCATATGTGCAGTAATTCACAAACGGAGGATACTGCACTCACACTTAGAAATCGAGGTGCTTATCAGGGCCAGGGTTGGCAAAACCCAGTTTAGTAGATAAAATAAATTAGGTCCAGGCACTCCGGATTGCTGCGGGAAGGTGGGTTTATTGGTATAAAAAGTGCACTTTTTGTTCCAATAAACCTGCCTTCCTGCAGCAGTCCTGAGTGTCTGGACCTAATTCATTTTAAACTCTACATGTGCAGCCTTACGAAGCAAAATGCAGAACATACAGACTCTAGGCACCATGACCACTTCAAATCACTGAAGTTGTCTTGGTGCTTGAAATAACCCTTAAATATTAATTTGACAATATGTTACAAATGAAGTCTCTCCTCAGGAGTGAGTCGATGGATCGCTACTGTTTTGCTGTTTTTTATTTCTGTGATTACTTTTACTCTATTTGATGAACCCAAGACAGCAGGCCCCTTGAAATAAAATGCTTGAAAGTATAAATTAAAGGATATCATAAGTATATACACTGCTCATTGACAGTATATATTTTTTTAACGTTTACTTATATTGTACCATCAATTTACTCAAGTGAAATAAAGTATAGGTGACATCATTTTACTGTAGTAGAATGTAAGAGTATAGACGTTACTCTTATTGGTTTATTTTAGAATCTCCTTTAATTATTGTTACAAAATACATCATTTAGATTATTACATATTAGAAAATAAAAAATAAAACAACAAAGAAACACTACATTTGGTCATCGCCCAGTAACACAGTGAAGTTTATAGCATTCAGTTCATGTAGTCAGTCTCTGTCGGTGTCAAAGGTCTTCCGCAGTTTCCGAGGAATCAGGATGTGTTGCATAAAAATACGAGCGATCGCCCTGTATCATAAGGTGATTAAAAATCCCTTATCATGATTCACTCATTTATTTTGATAGAGACCGGCTACATGTACTGAATATTTTTCAACTTTACTGGTGGATTAAAGATCCTGGTTTTGACTGTGTTATATTACCTGTTGATCAATATATGGCATAAGTGTATTTAACCCCTTAACAACCAAACTTATGGAATAAAAGGGAATCGTGACATGTCACACGTCATGTGTCCTTAAGGGGTTAAAGGTGGTGCCTCATATATATTTGTGTATTGCCTGAAGAAGATATCTGAGTCTAAAAGTTGTCTTCATGTTTTAAACAGAGCAAAGGCTGTGCTACTTTTTATCCCTATAAACTATTTTCTACATATTCTGGGCCATCACAAAAGCTTGATGGAAGTATCATGCAGGGCTTTGCACACATTAGCCGGAATGTTTAGAGCCACACTGCACTGGACTATAAAACAACTGCTGATTCCTGACCAGTTTCTGCATCCCTGCTCAGAGGTAAGTCATGGATCAGGCAATGCATTTCTCTTGAATCTGTGATAATTGCAAGTGAGCGGTGAAGCTGGACTCGTGCATCAAGGATCCTCTTCAGTCCGTACTCTTGGTGTGTGGACCCTTCTAATGGGGGTACCGTAGATATTCTGGAGCCCCGAGTCAACCCAGTGTGAACTGAAACAATAACTTGTCATTTCAATGGTGCTACACAAAGCTGCTACTCTCATTAAATATCAGGTAGATAATTAGATAACAGATGTCCTTATTGCATTGGACAGGAAGTAATTGGGGAAGGCCCATTTGTGTGAATTGTTGGGAATTCAAAATTATTTTCAACATTTAAGTACAGCTGATAGAGGATGGAGGATTTTTCCAGATCAGTTATTTTGAGCTGAGATTTAAAATTCGCTTTGAATTCCTGACAATTGACAAATAAGTCAATAACCCGCACCGTGTTTATCTCATTGAGCCCAGATCATGCTTAAGAAATATAGCCGCTGTGATTTAAGGTCTATATGTGCCATACAACATGTGGTGGTATGATTGTGGGACAGGTGTTGGGGCCAGCCACAAGGGAACATCTCATGACGCCACCAAGGGCACGTCAGCTTGATTTGGGGACTAATAATGCACAAAGCATCAAATTGATCTGTCCTGTTAAATCCAAGCCTGCTAGATTGTTTGATACGAATTACTCTTAATTCACTGCTTTACTACGCTCCCATGTTGAGGGAGACAGAGTGCAAAATCCATCCATTCAGGGCTCCCTTAATCTCAGCGCTGCCCTGCTTTATAGCATAAACACTTTAACAGATGCATTGCAGGCTTGCATTTCCATTAATTAGCCTCGCAGAATGCATTTCCATGAACGCTGTGCTGTAAACTGATCAGGTGACAGCTGGCAACTCTGACATCAGCCAGATATTAATGCAGGTGCAGCCTCTGGTCGTTCGCAGCAGTATGAATAACCACTATTATTAATGAAATTCAGCATTTTGCCAGTCTGGCTGCCTCAGAGTGATAGAATGTGTAGTTCAACAGAAACATGAAGGTCGTCCAGTCCTGAGATAGTTTATTGCAGCCACTGCTACATGCACTCTCTGAGCTTCCCCCTGCCTTTTCCAGCAATGCACTATCAGCAGCCCAAGGATAAGCTGTGACCTTTAGCTCCAGCAGCTGTAGGTTAGTCCCCTCCCCACCATGAGCTGGTTACTTGGTGCTGAATTCTCAACGCGTCCCTTTAAATTTGAGTAATATACTGCAGGCATCTGCTGTTGTACTTGCAGGCATGCATTTTTGTTTTATTTTCTTGTGTCATCGCAGACCTCCCAAGTGTCCCTATTTAGACGGGACAGTCCCTATTTTGGACCCTAATCACTCTGTCCCTCTTCTCTATCATAATGTCCCTCTTTTCTAGGAGCTCCATATTGTTGGCGTGTTTGAATGTATAACAGAACTACACAGTAATAATGTGTCTTTAAACAACAATAAATGTGTTTTTAGATCAGTCCAAGTAGGACATACTTGAAAACAGGAGAAATCTCAATGTATCTTTCCTGGTAAAATATTTTATAAATAAATTAGATACATTGTTATTTTTTTTTAATTCCATTTTAGTTGTGTTAATTGTTATTAGTAAGTCACCTAAAGTTTCTCAGAACAGCTCTGCCCCTGGCCACACCCTCAAAATTATGTGTTCCTCTTTGTCCATTTGAAGTATTGGCAGGTATGGGATAGAGATCTATTTAATAAACTTATTGTCAAGCTAAAATAAAAATCCCTAGATGATTGTTACTGTGGTTATCAGGGTTAAACACAAAATTATACCTAAAATTGACAACAGTCCCGAATCTTGTAGGACAGTGCCGATTTGGAACCCCTGCCCCTCTGTGATAGGCAGGGCCGGACTGGGAAAAAAATTCGGCCCGGGCATTTTTTTATCACAGCGGCCCACTAAGAAGGGGGCGGGGCAGAGAGGGTGTGTTTTGTCATCACTCATGACAAACACGCCCCCTCTCAAAGTGAGCATGTTGGTTCAATGCTCTTCCAGGGCAGACCATGCACAGAGTTCTGCTGAAGAGCTCTAGCATGAGAAAAAAGCCCTGTATTTGTTCTGCGCAGTGCAAGCAAATTTAATAACATGCTTGCACTGTGTTTCCTTGCAACTTGTCTCTGGTGTCTCTATAAATGGATACCAGGAGACAAATGGGTCAGGAAAGAGTATTGTGCATGTGTTTTGGAGCCTGCTTGGGGTATTGCGTGTGTGCAGAGTGAGCTGGTCGTGGTGTGGTATTGTGTAATAAGGTCGGTTTTAGTCGTGTTGTGTTTGTGGTGTAATGTAATGCATATGTGGCTAGGGGCTTTAGAGAATGTGTGTTTAGGGGATGTAGCAAGTGTGTGTATACAGGCTATAGTGTGTGTGTGTAGGTGATGTAGTGTTTGTAGAGAGTGTGTGTTCAGGGAATGTAGTATGTGTTTGCTTACAAGGAATCTAGTGTGCGTATAGGGGATCCAGAGTGTGTGTGTGTTTGAAGGACCCAGAATATGTATAGGAGATCTAGTGAGCGTGCGTATATAATGGATTCAGAGTGTATATAGGGATCTAGTGTGTGTATGTGTGTAGATGATCCAGAGTTGGGTAGAGGATCTAATGTGTGTCTGGAATGAAATGTGTTTAGGGGTGCTGTGTGTGTGTGTGTGTGTGCTGTGTGTGTGTGTGAGGGGTGCTGTGTGTATATTTATATGTGTATATATATTATATAAATATGTTTGGAAGTATTGTGTATGTGTGTTAGGCAGTGTATCGGGGGGTTGTGTGTGTATGTGAGGAGTGCAGTATGTGTGTGTGATGGATCCTGTGTGTGAGGTGTGGGTGCTGTGTGTGATTGATTTGTGTGAGGGTGCTGTGTGTGAGGGTGCTGTGTGTGTGGGTGCTGTGTATGATGTGTGTAAGAGTGCAGAGTGTGATGTGTGTGAGAATGCTGTGTGTGAGAGTGCTGTGTATGATGTGTGTGAGAGTGCTGAGTGTGAGAGTGCTGTGTATGATGCATGTGAGAGTGCTGAGTGTGAGAGTGCTGTGTATGAGAGTGCTGTGTATGATGTGTGTGAGAGTGCTGTGTGTGAGGGTGCTGTGTGTGTGGGTGCTGTGTATGATGTGTGTATGAGAGTGCGGTGTATGATGTGTGTGAGAGTGCTGTGTGTGAGGGTGCTGTGTATGATAGTGCAGAGTATGAGAGTGCTGTGTATGATGTGTGTGAGAGTGCAGAGTGTGATGAGTGTGAGAGTGCTGTGTATGAGAGTGCTGTGTATGATGTGTGTGAGAGTGCTGTGTATGATGTGTGTGAGAGTGCAGAGTGTGATGAGTGTGAGAGTGCTGTGTATGAGAGTGCTGTGTATGATGTGTGTGAGAGTGCAGAGTGTGAGAGTGCTGTGTATGAGAGTGCTGTGTATGATGTGTGTGAGAGTGCAGAGTGTGAGAGTGCTGTGTATGATGTGTGTGAGAGTGCAGAGTGTGATGAGTGTGAGAGTGCTGTGTGTGAGAGTGCAGAGTGTGATGAGTGTGAGAGTGCTGTGTATGATGTGTGTAAGAGTGCAGAGTGTGATGAGTGTGAGACTGCTGTGTGTGAGAGTGCTGTGTATGAGAGTGCTGTGTATGATGTGTGTATGAGAGTGCGGTGTATGATGTGTGTTAGAGTGCTGTGTGTGAGAGTGCTGTGTATGAGAGTGCAGAGTGTAATGAGTGTGAGAGTGCTGTGTATGAGAGTGCTGTGTATGATGTGTGTGAGAGTGCTGTGTATGATGTGTGTGAGAGTGCAGAGTATGAGAGTGCTGTGTATGATGTGTGTGAGAGTGCAGAGTGTGATGAGTGTGAGAGTGCTGTGTATGATGTGTGTGAGAGTGCAGAGTGTGATGAGTGCAGAGTGTGATGAGTGTGAGAGTGCTGTGTATGATGTGTGTGAGAGTGCAGAGTGTGATGAGTGCAG